CTTTGGATTGGATTTATTTGTGGTGAATTATGGATCAAATAGCTCAAGTGAAGGTGCTGCAGGAAAAACTCTGCTGAGGCAGACTTGGTCGAGCAAAGAAGATTTTATTGTCAGCCAGGTCCGAGTCAGAAGTACAGATTAATGGATCAAGTCTTGAAAGATCTCATTGCCCGATATCAGAGAAAACTCTGCCCCACTCTGAGTGTAAGCAACATGCAGCTATCTGTTTGAAATCTAGAAAATGTGTGGACTGATGTGTGGAAAGGGCTAAAGACCATCTAAAGACAGCATAGAAATAGAGTGACTGCCAGCAGAAACTTTCCATTGCCCCTCCATCTTCATTACCTTCCTATTAACTAGTGGATGTGGATGGACAATCGACTACCCATCCAACAGATTACAATACATGTCTTTGTAACTGGGTGTGGGAATAATCTTCAGCTTCTAAGGAGCCGGCAAGTTCAGGATGCCCTAGGCTAATGGTACCTATTTGTGCAGAGAATTTCCTGTGCAATTTCCTAATATTATCTAACAAACAATAATTTAGCTCAATAACTGGCTGGCTAACTAGGAGGAGGGAGTTTATTAGAAGTGTGGTTCTGCTCATGGATTTAGGAAAGATTTATTTTAAAAGGTACAGGGTTTACTGCAGCCTTTCTAGACGATTATTTTTGATTAAGAACCATACAATATGCATATTTACAACTCCAGCACCAACTCCAAGTTTGACTTGAAGTGACATGATAGGAGTGCTTCGGATAATAGATGGACAGGAATTAAGTTGCATTAAAATTATGTGGACCAACCACATGGAAAACAAAACGTAATTAATTTACTCATTTGCATGCCACACAATGCTACCTGATTGCTTTCCAACTTGAGTCACCATGAGAACTCCTTTTTTTTTTTTTAAGATTTTTTTGGCTCTAGTGGCCTTTAATGACAGTAGCTTGACAGGAAAGGGGGCAGAGATAGAGAGGGGGAGACCTGCGGGAAAGGGCCATGGGTTGGATTCGAACCCAGGCCGCCCGCTTGCGAGCAGAGGCTCTGTATATGGGCCGCCCGCTCTAGCCATTAGGCTACGGCTGCGGCCCGGGAACTCCTTTAATTACATCTGGTTCAGCCTCAGATTTAGGAATATTCCCTTTTTTGTTTGATTTGGTCAAATGTAAAAGTGTTTTGGATTATGTTGATATATATTCCAAAATGTTCATTCGTTCTCCGAAATGTAAGCTTGTTTCCAAAAATGAATGTAAACTCAATTCTTTTCCGATTTTGTTTCATTATAGGGGCAGCCCTTTAAAGCTATCGCTAATGGGTTTATCCCTTTGTGTGCATACGCAGCACTAAAAACTAGTCCACACCTTCCTGTTGGTTGGGCCCCACCTTTGCCTCGAGTATAAATTGGGCCGAGACCGGACAATCAGTTCCCACGAACAGCTCAATCTCTTCAGCCACCCAGACACCCAAGTGGTCCACAACTAAAAGCGGCTGTGCCTATAGTCATAGAATCTGGGGTTACGTTTTATAACCAACATTCTATTTCATATAGAAATAGCCCTTTAAGCGCTGTCACTAATGGGTTAAAGGTGAAGCAGGATATAATTATTGCCTCACTGGGCCTGTATGGTACTCCAGAAACAAATTCCATTGCCCTTAGCTGAAAGTCTGTCCAGCCCCTATGGGGCTTCCAATGTCATGGGCAGAGAAGGGAGGCACACATCCCTCACTCTGACGCAACACAGAGAACAGAATGAGTCATGGAGAAAGCTTAAGCATCCCATAGATAAAAACGGATTAATAAGCAGGGAGAGGACCACAATGCTGCAGTGCAAATGTCCTCTACAGAGAGACAAAGCTGTGGAAGATGAAATCTCTCTGGTGTTATGATCCCTGAGACCTACATGTGGTTCCTAGCCAGATGAGATGCAGGCCTAAAAGATTTGCTTTGTGTTTTTAGTGTTTTCTTATTCATGTCATACCCTACATTTTTCTTTTCTTATTTGTTCATGTAAAGCCCTTTGTCTCAGCCGTGGCTGTTCTTAAAAGATAAATAAAGTTGAATTGAGTTGAGTACATAACACAGGCCAGAGCCACCCCCCACGCCCTTCAGAAAGTGCTTGGTCAGTGGTTGACTGGACACGATCTGTCACCAAAACCTACATGGCAGGACAAAATCGCAGCATAGCTTTTAATTGTGATGAATGCCAAATCTCAAAGAGTAAGAGGCTGCTCTGGCATTCTGGATTGTGCGCACCACATCGCGAGAGAGACTAATGTCCCCTAGATGCTTCTGTTCAGCGGCCACCGGGGGGTTGTTGATTGCACTCAGAGAGAACCAAACGTGCACTGAGTGTTTCCCAAGTGGCGAACAGGTCAATGCTGGCTTTGCCGAACCTGCCCCAAACGGCCGAAACCAGACCAGGATGTAGGCTCCAATGTAGCTCCAATTTCCCAATCAAGGACAGCCCCTCTGTGATTGCCTTGTGGCGGTCCAAATTACACTCAAGGTTGAGGTGGGGCCTACCCAACAGGTGTGCATGGACTAAAGTTTTCTATACTGTGCATGTGCGAGAAGGAATAAGCTAATTAGCGATAATCTGAAAGGGCTAAGCCTATATAAAAATAAACTGATGTAACAAGTGAGTTCCTCATTGCAGGAACAACAAACCATGTCAATCTATCCAATATACCAACACATTAAACAAGTAAAGCATTTAGCAACAACTACTAAAGATTCTTAAGAAGGGTTACAAGTCAGAGTTTTTGTTGATAATGTAAGTACTAACTTCTTCTGCTGTGGTTAATTTGACTTGGTTTACATTACCAAGCTTAGCAAGAAGATCTGTATGTAACAGCATGCAAGATAATTGTAAAGCCTTCATCTATAGGTGCCAGAATTTGAGAGGCTTACTTGAATTAGCAAATTCTTAGATGAAGGTTCCACCTGTGAAATGATTTTGAAAGACTCTGATTGACTCTGTGAAGGTAGAATGACACATATTTATCCAAGCTCAATCCTTGGTAGGACTGTGAAATTAATGTAAGTAACAATGTTGAATGTTTGAAATTCGGTCTATTCAATTCAATTCAATTTCATTATATAGCGCCACATCGCAACAACAGTTATCTTGCAGCTCTTTCCAAACAGAGCAGGTCTGACCCTACTCTGAAGTTATTTACAGAAGCCTGAGAGCAAGCACTAGGCGACACAGGAAAGGAAAAACTTCCTTTTAAGAGGCAGAAACCTTGAGCAGAACCATGGCTCAGGGTGGGCGGGCATCTGCCTCGGCTGGACCATGATTCGAGGTAACCATTAT